CAGTAAGAAATTACTCGTCATCCAGTTTTTTTTTATATCGACTATGCATTCCGTTAGTTCTTCCAATTGGTATGTTTCGCCGGGCTGCGAAGAAATATAGAGCTGAGTATCATCAGCATAACAGTGAAAGCTAACACCGTGTTTCCTGATGCTATCTCCCAAGGGTAACATGTAAATTGTGAAAAGTAACGGCCCTAGTACTGAGCCTTGAGGTACTCCATACTGCACTTGTGATCGATATGATACCTCTTCATTCACTGCTACAAATTGATGGCGGTCAGATAAGTATGATTTGAACCATGCTAATGTACTGCCATTAATGCCAACAAATTTTTCTAGTCTATTCAAAAGAATGTTGTGGTCAATAGTGTCGAACGCAGCACTAAGATCCAATAGCACTAATAGAGAGATAAGAGCAAGTAATTTGTAACTCTGAGTTACAAACTCATTACTTCATACACACTACGACCAGCAGCGCACAGACTCCCAGAAATGAAAATCCTGTCCTCATTTACTAACCCTCATGTCACTCCAAGCCCATACGACATACGGCGTGATAGATAAGAATAGAGATATGGATATCAGTTGCTGTAACTCGTGCTAATTGTCTTGCAGAAATAAAAGCACCTGACTCTTCAGTGATTATACACATCTTGTTGTGTGATGCAGAGACAGCGTGTCGCTCATGGATGTGTCAGTTGTCTGATCTCAAGCCCAAGTCTCCATATCCCCTGATTTCCCACACACACACACACACACACACACACACACAGACAGATACACACACACACACTCGTGCACAGTTAGCGGTGGTTTTAATAAGACTTTGCTGTTCTAGGTGGTTGATTTTATTGGTGCCTCAACTTTAAAGCTCTTTATAAAGATACATGCTCTCACACATTGCTGGATTCCTTCTGCTCATATGAAACACCTCAACACATTAACAGCCACACCATCCTGAAGACCATGATCCAAGTCCTCAACTCCTTGCTGGATGTCTCTACAGAAGAGTTTTCCTTCCCTCTCTATTGGAATCAGACACCTATATGTCTTGCACGATAGAAAAATGATAAAAGGGACTGAAAAACCCAGTCTGACGGGATGATATTGCCTGTGCACGAAGCCCCACGCTGCAGCTGAATGGAGAAGCAGTGCCAGTAGAGTAATGAGATCTTCCATAAGCGAGTCGTGACCCTCATCACGTGAAATGATGTCATGAGGCTTTTAATCTGTCACAACCGATCGGCTCAAGAGTCTGCAGAAGCGCTGTGCTGTGCTTCATCTGAAATAATAGGTTAGTGAATGTGCCTGAATATCACTTTATTCCAAGTGTCAAATGTTTGCAGTGGTTTCTGCTGAAGGTCAGCTCATTGAGAAGTCTTGTGTTCTAGACTTGGCCATTGGAATCACTTATGTGGTGTGGAACAGTAAGGGCTGGTAACTCCTACCAGAGTCCTGGTTGCTCCAGAGGAATTGTGCCTGTAATAAAAAGGTCAATGGAAATGGTTTTGGGGGCAAAGCACATGCTCGATGAATATTCTCTTATTATATATTAACAGTTTAAAATGAATTCATTTAACAGGTGATGTTTTCCAGCTGCAAACTGTGCCAAAGTTATTACACAAAATGACGTCTGCAGCGCTACTCTTGGAGTATTGTGACAATTTAACTTCATACGTCACAATCACTCATTTTCATATGAAGTATATTTATACAGTAGTAGATATTATGTTTCTAAAGGTTCTTAAACAGGTTAGCTGGCCAAGTGATATTTGGTGTTTCCACACATCAGTCACACACACACAACACAACACAACACAACACACACACAGCAGTACTAATATGCTCATTTCAGGACTGATGGACTACTATTCAAACCTGGCTAGTGTCTAAAAAATAAATATTTACCTAATATGATCTCTAGCGCCCTCTTTCTGCAGGAAATCTAATCATATTGTGTCTACTTGTTTTTAAAGGTAATTTGCATATGCAAACCTGGTAGAGAGGGAAGACTACAAGAAAGAAAAAAAACCTTAACACACTGAAACATTGAAAAACTGTCAGACAGTAAAGAGAGAAACTCTTCTTGGACTGCACAATGTTATATAGATGTGTCAAATATTCCATCAATTCTGAACTATATTTCTGGTTATAGGATGGGGGAAAAGAAGAACAGCTGAAGAGCGAAAGAAAAGGAAGACAAACGAGATTCACACCTTTCGGTGCAGAACTTTTGGCCATTCTGAGATTATCTGTGAGAAATGTGTAAAGTTCAGATTATAACACGCTCCGTGTGTAAACCAGTAAAGTGGACAAAGTTTGATATATCAGAAAACATCTGTGAATCATTTCATTAACAGGACACCTTTTTTTTTTAAAAAGAAAACCATTCAAATGAATCATTTGTCGGTTTCATGCATTCTGGTGTGAATAATGATCAGGTTTAATCGTGCTTAACTCTCTCTTCTCTTGCTTTCTCATGATTTCAGCTATGGCTCCTCCAAAAGAAATGCTTCGTTCACTCACTCACTGGACACAATAACTTACTACACAATATTTATCAAATTTATTTTCTCCTCTACAAATAAAGACAGTAGTTCAAAATTCTCATACAGACAGGAAGAGAAAATGAGAGAAGTGTTTTCCTAATGAAAGCTCATTTAAATAAAGTAAAAAAGCAGGTTCACATTTCATACAAGGACATCACAGACAACAGAAGCATGCTAGAGCAGGTCATCATGGGACGGTTTCAGACACACAAATCATCATCATCATCATCATCATCATCAAGCCATGAAGACCAGAGGCGACAAGAAAACATATCTTCAATGAGAAGAAAACCACTTCTGTGAAAGTCTCCGCGATGAAAATGTACCTCCGGCCAGGGCTTCTGAACACGAGAACTGAACAGAGGTATCAGCGGCTGGTATATCACAACTCATTCATGAATCAAAACCGTTCGGGATCGAACAAATTATCTACAACAGTCCCTTGAGTTAAATGAAGCTCGAGTGGAGATGCTAGCTGTGACATCTGTCCTGTGTCCTGTTAGTGGTTCGGGACAAAAGCAGCCACGCATTCAAGAGTAGATACCTGCAAAAGAAAACATTAACGGCAGAAGATTCTGTGACAGCCTCAAATCTCTTATCATTTATGTCAAAAACAATCTCTGCCATCAGGTTCAGTGACAAGAAGAGAAATCGCCCAGCAAACCAGCAGCTTCATACTGGACCTGACAGAGCAAGAATACACACAAAATCATTCATCATATTCAAATGAACATTTATATCACACACATCCAATAGAAGCACATCGTTTTTAAATAATCTCAATAAAAATCTGTAAAAAAAAAAAAAAAATACAACATGTATAAAAAGAGAGCAGATGATAGAGGGACAAACACAGCAGCGTTAACAGGAGGGGAAGGAAGCGCTTAAGTGCAATCTCTGTGTCTTTGATGGAAGCGTTTCTCAGTCGGATCCGCTCTGGCTGATGAAGTAACCCGCGCTCCTCCGTCTCTGCAGGGGCTGGGGCCGGCTGCGCAGGGAGCTGTGGTTGCCGTGGTGATGGTGAGGGGGTGGGGCAGGGGGCGGGTCTCTGAGGGAGGGCGGGACTACAGAGGATTTGATCGGGATGATCCGGGTGTCCATCACCTCACAGTCCACCTGCATCATCATCTCATAGCCGCCCTGAGACGAGTTATACACCGAATCTACACGCACACACACACACGGGACACAACACACACTCATCATTTACTCACGCTCATGTCATTCCAAACAGCACTCAACTAGAGCTGCATCACGATTTCTACATCCCTTGATTTCTTAAGCCTAATCATCGGCCCGCTGCTTATTTACCCTGGAAATGTTTCGTTATCTTGCATTGGGAACGATTTCAGATCGTTTAGAGTTTGTGGATTATATGTAAACATCTTTTATGTGAAATATCTTATTCAGGCCAGTACAAAATAAACAATAACATGCATTTTGTATGAAAATGAACATTTTGCAGATTCTGAAAGGGGGGTGTAAACTTTTGACCTCAACTGTATTTAAACAACGTGGCGCAGGACGCAAAAATGATAACTGCGTCGGGCTGAAACTAGCACAGAAAACACTTGTGTCACGCCGGGTGTAAGATAGGGCCCCAAGCGTTTAACCATTATTATAAAACGGTTAGTTCCATTCCTGGATTCTGATTGGACAGCAGCTGTGTTTTATTCACGATACAGCACGGCTATCACCCAACGGTTCTGTCTATCACTTTATAAAACGGTTAGTTCCATTCCTTGATTCTGATTGGTCAGCAGCTGTGTTTTATTCACGATACAGCACGGCTATGACCGCTTCACCCAACGGTTCGGTCTATCACTGAGCAACACCCTTAGCAACATAAACAATCAATAATATAGCATCAGAACTGTTTAATGTATTATGTATTTCGGCAGAATCAACTGTTTGTAATTTATTTAAAGGGGTCATATCATGCGATTTCAAGTTTTCCTTTCTCTTTGGAGTGTTACAAGCTGATTGTGCATAGATAAGATCCCTGAAGTTGCAAAGTGTGTGTGTGTGTGTGAGAGAGAGAGAGAGAGAGAGAGGGAGAGAGAGAGCGAGAGAGAGAGAGAGAGCACGAGAGCGTGAGAGAGAGAGAGAGAGAGCGCGAGAGCGTGAGAGAGAGAGAGAGAGACAGACAGAGACAGGGTCACATCACAGTGGAGTCAGCTATCTTAACCGTGGCTTGTGTACTGCACACATACCAGCTTCATCACTGTGTCTGTCACTGTTCCCCTTTCGGGCTCTGTCTTTACATTTATTTTGAAAGCTGAAGCTGCGATTATGGTAAAGGGCGTTACATTTCCGACGAGTGCTTGCGGTGTTCGGCCAAGAGACCACGCCCTCCCCCCCCCGTCTAATAAACGCTTCTCATGCAGAGATGTGTTGATGTGTCAGGAACTATTTTTTAGTGGAAGGACAGCATTTAACAAACTTCAAAAAAAGTAACATTTCAATACATACATTTTTGGTTTTAATATATTTTATTGTGTGGTGACCGTTTCATAAAAGCTATAAGGTACTCGAGGCCGTGCTGTATCGTGAATAAATCACGGCTGAAGGGGATGCAGTGACTCTTGCTTACTTGTGCAGCCTTACACTGAACCTCATGGACTTTCACTGCATGAGACATGTTTCAAAACACCTATAAATACCATAAATGATATTCATCTTTGGGTGAAGCGACCGATTAAACTCACCGTTGATGGCCATGGCAGGCATGACCAGAGACATCTTGGGCCGAGTGGTTTTATTGTGGCTGATGGCCGGTAACAGCAGGTGATCCTGTAGGAGTCAGGGATGAGAGTGAGTGAGTGAGTGAGTGTGAGATGAGTGTGCTCTTTCTGTGCTTATCCTGCTCTCTTACCCGTCTGAATGACACCACATAGAAAGTGTCCTCGCGCCGGTCGATAGCGTCCAGAAAGTCGCTGTAGCTGATCTCCGGCCCGGGCAGCACCTGCAGCTGACTGCCAGGACAGACCATGAACTTATTAATCAAATAAAACATTTGCAGCACTTGTTTTACTCCGAGGCTCTGTGGTTACCTTTCGATGGAGCGATGAGCCTGAATTGGAAGATACCTGGAGAAGTTTGTCTTTCTGTGCTGAGCTTTCTGCTGATGAGAGGGAAAGAATACGTATAAACTAGTGCGGTCAAACGATTAGTCGCATCCAAAATAAAAGCTTATGTTTACATAATATATGTGCATGTACTGTGTATATTTATTATGTATATATAAATACAAACACATGCATGTATATATTTTGAAAATATTTCATTCATATAATTTATATTATTTATACATATAAGAAAATATGTTATGTTTATATATTAAATATATATATATAATATAAATGCATGTGTGTGTATTTATATATACATAATAAATATACACAGTACGCACATATTATGTAAACAAAAACTTTTATTTTGAATGCGATTAATCGCGATTAATATTTTGACAGCACTAGTATAAACAAAGCAAATCCTGTGTGAATTACACTAATGTGTCAAAGTAGGGCAGCTCATCTCTGTTTTACTTCAAACGTGGAGCCATGCAACAAACGCTGCTCTACTTACTGAACAACAATAACAGGGAACTGCACTGGATTGTGATGCTCTGAGGGGAATGGTATGCAATGCACAGCACTGAGTCTGTATGATACGAGAAAGCTTGCAGAGTCACAGAGCAGCTGTGGTTTCACACCTGAGCTATTTTAGTCTTTTTCACAACCTTCGCCTTTCCATCAGACTTCCTGTTGATCTGATGCCGCTGGACCCATCCACGCAGCTCATCCGCCAACCTGATGCAGAAACAGAGAGAGTAAAGCACTCTGAACCAATCGATTCGTCTTAGGTGTGAAAGCGTAAAATGTACTGTCCCTTAAAAAGAAAGAAAGAAAGAAAAAAACGAAAAAGGGAAATTAAAAAGAAAGAATTCAACATATTACTTTAATTAAAAGTCTGGACACACCCACTCATTCTTTGGTATCACTATTTTAGAATAATAATTTGATAAAAAAATGATTTAATTTAATATGTGACCCTGGAGCACAAAAGCAGTCTTAAGTCGCTGGGGTAAATTTGTAGCAATAGCCAAAAATACATTGTATGGGTCAAGATTATCCATTTCTCTTTTATGCCAAAAATCATTAGGATATTAAGTAAAGATCATGTTCTATGGGGATATTTAATAAATTGCCTACCGTAAATATATCAAAACTTAATTTTTGATTAGTAATATGCATTGCTAAGAACTTCATTTGGACAACTTTAAAGATGATTTTCTTAATATTTTGATTTTTTTGCACCCTCAGATTCCAGATTTTCAAATAGTTGTATCTCGGCCAAATATTGTCCTATCCTAACAAACCATACATCAATGCATGGATATATTTATATTTATTCAGCTTTCAGATGGAATCTCAACATTTCACAATATTGACCCTTATGGCTGGTTTTGTGCTCCAGGGTCATATATGAGAATGGTAACCTAAGCTTTCAGTGGTAGTGTCTTTAAAATTGATCAGATGATTGATTTACTGTAGTTACATGCAACAACATTGTGATTAAGTGTGGATCAGTAAATGATGAAAACGAGATGAGATGGACTGACTCAAGTTGGAGATAAGGGCTATAATGATGGTGTATTTGTTCAGGACGCACTGACCTGACGGACTCGGAGCGGTTGAACTGTCTGCAGTCAGAGAAGTATCTGTCTATGTCCTCCAGGAGCAGGTCTTTGACGTCACTGAACACACCGCTCTGATTCCTGAATGACAAACGCAGGCTCACACACACTGACCAGGTCTGAGTGTGTGATTCTGGACAGTCATCTCACCTGAACTGATACGAGACCGCAGCCTTCTTGTCCAGCTCTCCTTTGCTCCAGCGCTCTTCCTCCTCTCGGTCCGTCTGTCTCTCGCTCGCTCGTCTCCGGCTCAGCTCCTGAGACATCTCAAACTCCAGCAGGCGTCTTCCTGTCAGCGGAGCAGCCGCTTCCTGCAGTCCAGCTTCCAGCGTCCTGTCTCTCAAACTGCAGGAGAGAGACAGCCACAGAATGAACCCAAAACAAAAACCCCCCTCTGATGCAGTGTTTGTGGATTTGATTTTGCTTCCTGAACAATTCCATCAACAATTCTTTTAGTACTTGTGTCATAAGTGTCAATTTTTTGAAATGTTGAGATTTCATCTGAAAGCTGAATAAATAAGCTTTCCATTGATGTATGGTTTGTTAGGATAGGACAATACTTGAGATACAACTATTTGAAAATCTGGAATCAGGGTGCAAAAAAATCTAAATATTGAGAAAATCACCTTTAAAGTTGTCCAAATGAAGTTCTTAGCAATGCATATTACTAATCAAAAATTAGGTTTTGATATATTTACGGTAGGAAATTTACAAAATATTTTCATGGAACATGATCTTTACTTAATATCCTAATGATTTTTGGCATAAAAGAAAAATGTATAATTTTGACCCATACAATGTATTGTTGGCTATTGCTACAAATATACCTGTGCAACTTAAAAGAACACTCCACTATTTTTGAAAATAGGCTCATTTTCCAACTCCCCTAGAGTTAAACAGTTGAGTTTTACCGTTTTCGAATCCATTCAGCCGATCTCCGGGTCTGGCGGTAGCACTTTTAGCTGTAGCTTAGCATAGATCATTAGTGTTAGTTACAGAATTAGTGGCTGTCTTCTGTAAATCATGCTAAAACGTATTTGCTCAAAAAATATTACAGGACATATTCTAATGTAATGTAATTGTATTAAAATTGTTATTGTTTTGGTGTTTGAAAATCCCTTTTCATCTTTGACCCATATACGTGTATGAATATGTCAAGCAGCCCAGTTATTATCCAATCCGTGAGCAGTGTAAACTCAGTTCAGTTCACAGCTGCCTGTCACTCCTCTGGACTCATTCTTCTCACTGGTCAGTTTCTCAGCTGCTCGCACAAGCACATCATTTGGTTGCATTTTTTTTTTTTTTTTTTGCTGCAACATGGGATTAATCAGTGCATGCTGGTGAACTTTTATCATAGTTTATAGTTATATGGTAACGAAAGTGGTTAACATTCAACCTGTTCTTTTTCATCAGTAGTATTGTTCCTCTTTTGCTGTTATAAGCCGGGCTTCAGATGCTTTCACTTTTGAATTCGCGATCTTGTTGTCACGTTTTACAAGAAAACATATTTGTCTGTTTTGCTTATATCTATGCACCTTTTAATTTTAAGACTAAAGCAAAAGATGGATTAATTGTTATTATTAATTAAAAAATACAACAACAATAAAACAGTAAGATACAATGACAAACTAGCTTACATAACGTTTATTAACAAAAACGAATAAGGTAAGGCATAAATAATAAATTAATTAGTTCTTTAATAAATTACAGAACGTTTAGCAAACACTGAGGAATAAAAAATAAAATTAAAATTAAAAGAAAGCCTTCATAGCGTAACCTAAGGTAAACAGCAAGATAACAAGCTTTCAAAATGAAAACAAAAAGAAAAGTCAAACTAAAACTAAACTGGCTGTCGGTGACAGGACTTGCATGATTTTTTCCACAGGAATACCAACATGTTCACCTTCTCTGGTTTAAGAAGCGGTGTTTTACTTTACTTTAGCTTTAAAAACAAATCCTCCGTCCGCCATCATTTCCTCAATATTCGTGCCATTTTTGCCGCGCGCAGTATAAAGCAGGCTCTACACCTGAAGCCCCTCTCTTCACCTGATCAGGGAAATCTGACTCTGCTACAGTGTGCTGCGACTCTGCAACGCTCGCTGTATGGAGTAGAGCAGACCATGCAGAGCAGACAAATTTGAACTCGTGCATTCTCAAAAAATGTTTGCAGTCTAGAGCCCTGTCTTGATTACCTGGTTGGGTGTGTTTAATAAGGGGCGGAGCCAGACTCCCACAGACCTCACTCAGAGATTATTCTGTGTGCTTTTTCATTACAAAGAACAGACTGAAGAGTCATTTGTTCATGAACTGGATCTACACTGCACTGCATGTTTGCTGTCTGTAAACACTGTCAGAGTTGTTTATTGTGATGTTCCACCTGCATTGGCACAAGAACTGAAAACAAAGAATATGTGACGATCCGCTTCCAGTTTCAGCAGAGTGTTCTTTGCTAATGAGTTTGGAGTGCGTGTTGGTTTACCTGACGGGGCCGAAGGTGATGAAGAGGAACAGAGCCATCACACACAGCGCTCCCTTGTTGCTGCCAGACTCAGCGACCTGTTTTACACACCACACAATTAGACACAGCATGAAAAGCCCTGCAAACGTGAAGCGTTGCTCTGCGGGATCAGCGTCTGACCTCTCTCCCGGCGAGCCGCAGCCGCAGTGCTTGGTTCTCCTTGCGCAGACGCTCGTTCTCCTGCTGCGCCTCCCGCAGCTGCGCCTCCAGGTTCTGCAGGTACTCCTTCTTCTTCTTGCGGCTCTGGCAGGCCGATTCCCGGTTCTTGATCATGCGCTGCTGCCTCTTCAAAACCTTCATCTGAGGACCAGACGAGTGTATTCACTGTAACTGTGATTCTCCTCGACCATCTGTTTTTCATCAACCAACTAAATATGTGCATCACTAATGAAAGGGTTATCTGTGACCCGTTTCAAAAATGAGTTATTTTTATTTTCTCATTAAAACAACTTCAAAATGTTATATAACTTGTTGGAATCAGAAAAAAAAAAAAAAAAGACTGAGCTACAGGCGTTTGACGGCGATAGAGTCAGCAGAGTTGATTTTGAGAAAAATGTTAAAGAGTTAAAGTTTTCTGTAGATTCCAAAGCAAAATCAAGCAATGTTGCATATTTTCCTCCAATTCTTTTCTTAATAATAATTACTATATTATTAATCACAATATAGCTATTTTTTTTAATTTGATCTTTGTTATTAAAAATGAGCACAAAGATGCAAAGAAGTAGCTTCTTTTCTTTTCTTTGCTCACTGTGAAAGCCTCTCATCAAAAAACCACAACTTGACCCCATGGTTCCTTGCCGTTGTCGCCTCTGGCTTGCTTAGTTGGGGGACACTTAATTTCCAGCGATATCGTCGACTTGATTGCACAGATACTATTTAAACTGAACTGAGCTGGATGATGACATCACTGAATTCAATGATGAACTGCCTTTAACTGAAAATTTAGTGTTTTCTATTGTCATTTTGCATTATTGACACAATATTTTCCTAATTAATTCTGTACAGTTGCTTTGACACGATCTGTATTGTTAAAAGCGCTATATAAATAAAGGCGACTTGACTTGACATTTAATATATGATTATTTAATATATGATTAACACTGAGACAGATCTATATTAAGACCTACTGTAAAGCATGGATCTAATATAATGTTACACGTCAGATTTTTCCCCAACTATTAACTAAACGTTCATGTAAGACATAAAAGATTATGTTTGTATGAATCTCGCCAAGGCATATTTCAGCAGCAGCAGCAGTCGTCCAGAAGTGAGCAGAGAAAAAGGTACTCCTCTCAGAAAACGTACCAATAAAGATCATGTTAGATGTTTAATTACTATTCGGAGCATTGGGATCTCTAGAAGATGAAGAATTAACTCATTTTTGTGAAAACCTCAAATTCGACCACCACTGACATTTTTCACTTCTTTTGCTTGTAGCTCAAAATTAGACCGTGCGCATTCACACTCGTTGCCAGCACGGCTCACATTTTCTCTTCTGAACGGAAATCTTGTTGCACAGTGAGCAAAAGATCTGATCATTGAATGAAGTAACTCCACATGTTCTGCAGTCACTCACGTCGATGTCAGCACAGCTGTTTCCGGGCAGGCTGGCCGCTGGGATGATGGGTTTGCTGGGGGGCGGGGCTGACGGGCTGGTGCAGTGAGACATGCTGGGAGACAAAGGCTCCATTTTAACAATAGCGGAAGCAGAAGCCAGACACACGGACTGAGACAGAACCACTGCAGGAGACAAACAGATAACATGCTGGTTATCATGTATCTGCTACAGAAGCAGTGCTGGCAGCAACGACACTAACTTCATTATATTTGAGAAGTGTGACAATAAAACACATACTATCAGCACTAAATTGCATATTTGGGCTCAGTTTGGGCCTGTTTTTCCTTCTTGAGTTGAGCTCTATAATCTCACTACATCGTCATTACTGATGTGCGCAGGATTATTTCACGCACACTTTATTTCACTTAAATATTACTGAAAGTTCAAAAAAAGTTATGTGAACTCAATAACTGATTATTTTGAGCAGAACTCAAATGGAAAGAGTTACAGCAGATTTCTAGCTCCCAGCATGCTTTGCTTCAGAGTCTGTAAGGAGAGTAAACGTTGAAATTAAATGTTATTTTATGCGTTTTTGCACAAGATTAAATGGGTCATATGATGCGATTTCAATTTTTCCTTTCTCTTTGGAGTGTTACAAGCTCTTGGTGCATAAAGAAGATCTGTAAAGTTGCAAAGACTAAAGTCTCAAATCCAAAGAGATATTCTTTATAAAAGTTAAGAGTCAACCACGCCTACCTAAAACGGCTCGTTCTAACACGCCCCCACATGTCTACGTCACATATGTGGAAATATTAGCATAATACCGCCCAAATGTTCACGCAAAGAAGGAAGGCGTAACTTTTATTCTTGCTGTAGTATTGTTGCCACCGCCGCCATGTCGTGAAGACGCTGTGTGTTTCATTGCATTAGTGAAACTACTTTGTTTGGTCTTCCAAAAGAGGACATGACTAGAAATCAGTGGTTAAATTGTATTTACAACACTGTTCCAGAACACTTCAACCCAAATATTCAGATGTGTGCAAAGTGCATTTTGCGGAGGATGAGGACTGTTATGTGAGAGTAGCCTACAATGCCGGTCACGCTTGAGGTATTCGGCCAATCACAACGCACTGGATAACTGGCCAATCAGAGCACACCTCACTTTTCAGACTGATGAGCTTTGTAAAAATCGACGCATTTCATAGAGGCGGGGTATAGAGGAGAAATACTGTACAATAATGTACAGTATGTGGAAAATAATGTGTTTTTTAGCAACCGCGATTTTTGCGTGTTTTCTTTTTCCGTAAGGTTATGCCCTTTCAAGCATCGACGCATTGGTCAGCTGAGCCTTCTAACATGGCGCTCAAAGTTAAAATGATTTCAGCAGCATGGCACTCAAAATTAACATGATTTCAACAGCATGTTTCATTACATCTCTCTTTGAATGAATCAGCGTTTTTGAACGTGTAGTTGAATGAACGGTTTATAGATTCACTCAAAGACAGTCCCTTTTCACCACCTTGTGGTGCAACAATCTAACTGCACTGACTGACAGCCCGTCTAGAACACGCAGGTGGAAATATCAATAGAAAGTCTCTTGTCCAGTCGGATTCGAGGATCAGAACGAACTGTTATACATATAGGCTAACAATAGCCTCACGATCTTATTGTCAGGTTTATGTTCTGTTATGTGGGTCGTTATGTTGTCATTCTCTTCTGTTTACTTCACTTCCTGTTTCAACGCTATTTGGTTTCGGTTTCATTGGTTTCTAAATATGACCTCGT